ACAGGACACGCAAAGATTCTAGATGAAATCTGGAATTCTCCGTGCCTTAAGGTCTTCGACAAGATGAATAGAAAATTAGCTTTCTCCAGGGAATTCGAAGTGGTCATTAGTGACCGATCAACTTGGAGAAATAATAAAATCAACTTAAAGCAGGGCTCTCAATTATGGTATACTGATGGGTCCAAAATGGATAATGGCAGTGCAGGAGCAGGAGTTATGGGACCAAACTTCCGTAAAGCAATCGCAATGGGAAAAACTGCTTCCATTTTTCAGGCAGAGGTCCATGCCTTAGAGTTTGTGCAAGAGAATGCATACGTAGGGGCACCCGAGGTACCAACATATGCATTCTATCAGACAGCCAAGCAGCTCTAAAATCTTTAGCAAAATCCTTATTCCAATCAAAGCTGGTTTGGGAATGCTTTCAACTTCTCAACACCCTAGCATCGAGGAACTATGTTACTCTTATGTGGGTACCGGGACACGAGGGGCATGAGGGCAATGAAATAGCAGACATATTAGCAAAGAAGGGTGCATGTACTCCTTTCATTGGGCCCGAGCCCTTCTGCGGGGTAACAAATAGCTTCACAAACAACTTATTATGTGAACGGGAGAAACAGCTTCTACTTGAACACTGGAGAGCCAAAACAGGCATGCGACAGTCAAAAAGATTCATTGATCCTGAACACATCAAAGTTGATGCTATCATCAACCTTAGCAGAAATGATATCAAAATCTACACTGAACTTCTTACAGGGCACTGTAGACTTAATTACCACATGAAGATTATAGGTGCGGTAGAAAGTGATTCCTGTCGACTCTGTCATGAGGAGAAGGAAACATCGGAACATGTTCTATGCAACTGCCCAGCGGTGGCCAGACGTAGACTCGATTACCTTGGTAGCGGGATCCTGGTCCCAAATCAAATAGGTAAAATTAAGCCCACTGCAATTATAAGATTTATAAATAGTCTAAAATTGTCCTAGTTGGGCCTATAGGCGCACAATAGATCTTTTAGGTCGGGGTGCACAAATAGCCTATTTTTAAATAATAATAATATATTAGATGATGCAAATTTAAATGAAGACCTTTTGTTTACTTTAGTAAACCATCACGGAAATCACCAACCCGTACCAAAATCTATTCAATGGAGATCTACCATTCTTCAAGAATTTGATGAAGGCCGTTTTCGTCAGATGCTTAGAGTAAATTGGAACGAATTTTCCTTAATACTCTCACTAATAAACACTAGCGCGGAGTTTACTAATTCACATTCAATTCAACAATTCCCCCTAGATCTTCAACTTGCTATTGTTTTATATCGTTTGTGTTCATCAGGCGAAAATGCGGATATTCGTAAAGTCGCTACATTATTTGGTGTTGAAGATGGGAAAACAATTTATAAGATAACCCGAAGAGACTTTCGCTCCATATTGGAGCTGCAAACCACATTTATAACGTGGCCATATGTAGCTGAACGACAAGATATAGTGGAGAAAACCTATCATGAGCTTCCACATTGCATTGGATATATTGACGGTACTGAAATAAAACTTGCCGAAACACCAATGGTTAACCATACATCCTATTTTTCAAAAAAAAAAGTGTATTCAATAAATGCACAATTCGTATGTGACTATCAGATGAAGATTCGACATGTCGCAGTTGGTCACTTTGGAAGTGCACATGATGCTCGCATGTTTCGTACAAGCGCTCTCTGCATCCAAGAAAATTCTTTATTTTCTTCGGAACAATGGTTAGCAGGCGATTCTGCTTATCCATTACTTAAAACTCTTATAGCTCCGTTTCGGTCAAACTCCCAACAGCTTGACTACTCCAAACGTAAAACTTTTAACTTACGCCATAGCAGATTTCGTGTAAGGATTAAACATTGTTTTGGACTTCTGAAGGAACACTTCAGTATTCTTAAGGAGTTAAGAATCCGTATTCAGAATGATACGAGTCATAATTTTTGTTCAAATTGGTTCCTTGTTTGTTGCATATTGCACAACATTTTGCGACGTTCATGTGATGATACGGAACACGTGGATTACGTACATGACAACGACGAAGAATCTGATGAAATTATGCAGAATGAAGCTAGTCAGAGAACCAATGAAGAAGCTTCGAAGCGCAAATTTTTGTATAATTTAATGTTCGGCAATCAATAATTTACGAATACAAATATATAAAACATACATATATGTATATATATTTAATAATATAATTAAGAAGTCAATTGCGACATTACTTTTATCCAGTAGGTTTATTTCAAGCCAAGAATAATGTATAAAAACGTAATATATATATTAAAATATGTAATAATAATATAATATAAAAATAATTAGTATAATAAAAATATAACTAATGCTTAATTTATTATTGTTATTTGTTATATTTTTTATCGAGGGGAGTAGTGGAGCATTGCACAGCAGAACGAACTACTTTCGGTGCAGAGCTGGATAATGTGTTGTCTGCAGACGATTCAATAAAAGGCCTTTTCGGTAGCTCGCAAGAGCGGCAAAAAATGCATGTTGGCCTATGTTGGCCACACGAGTCATTGGCATCTCTGTTGCAATCTGTCAAATGTTTTGTTTTGACAAACAGCAAATCTTGTATATGTGCATATAAATCAAATATATTTTTATAAAAATATTATAAAATTAAAATGAACACGGAATTAAAAGGAATGGTAAGAATATTGGAAATTTAAAAATAAAACACTAAGATAAGTAAATTTTTGTAGGTACTGTGGATGTTGGGAGAAGAAAGCACCGTTTTGCAGCGACCAAGGGATGCAAGTTGTTTCACGAATTTTTTAAATGTTATGAATGCACTCTAGAAAACCTTTCGTTTCCTTTGTGGTCCATAGTTTGCGTGTATTTCTATAAAAAAAATTTTTAGAAAAACTTCAAAAATTATGTTTGTTTAATTAATTTTACGTATGTAAACTACAAATTAAATAGAATAAAATAAATGTTACTTGGTAATAACTAACATAATAAAAAATTCAATGTGCTTAATACTTACGATTTCTCCATTCTTATTATTTCTTCGTTATTTTTCAAGATTTTTCATATATTTGAATTCTGTTTGAATTTTTATTTCCTCAATTTTTGACATTTGATTGCACTATTCGTTGGAATTTTCAATGAAGGTTCACAATAGTTATTGCGTTGGTAACATTTTTTTTTTACTGGCCGATGTGGTTGGCCAGCATAACTATGCTGGCCGAGGTAGAGAAAATAGTGCTGTTGTTTTGCGTACATTGCGGCCAGCATAGGCCAGCAACTTGCTGTTTTTTGCCGTACTTGCGAGCCACCGAAAAGGCCTAAAATAAACTTCGTTGTGGCAATGCTGGCTGTGGCAATGTGTCCGTACATATCACAAGCGGCTGAAAATTAGACGTGCGTCCAAACACTTAATTCAATAGTTCAAAATGTGGACAAATTTTCGTAAATTTCGCTGAAATTGATAAATAGATAAATTAATTCACAAATGTATATGTATATAATATTATATTTGTGAAAACTTAATTAATAGTCACATCGTTTTAAATCATTGAACGAAACGCATGTATATAGCATAGCTATAGATTAACATATCTCGAAATTTTACTAACCGTCAATTCAAATTTAAAAATGAGAAGCAAAATATGTCAAAACAGCTGATTTCTTCCATTTCTGTTTTGTTGCAAGCAAATATACACAGGTTTTAGTATTGGAAGATTGCACGCAATTGCGAGAGTGATGACCTCTTCTCTGTTCTTTGGTAAAATCAAAACACAGAAGCAAAATAATAGTGGTTATTATGAAACTTCTACCGATAGAGGATAGACTTTTATCTACTGAGTCGATTGGTAAGCAAATTTGGTATTATGAAACTTGATAGACAAACATGTGCACTATTGTGAATGATATCAGGGTTTTAGAGTGTGCAGCTTTAATAGAACTAATTTTGTTAGTTTGTTTGTATTGTATTCGCTAAGAAACATTAAAATTGAGTTCAAAATTGAATTCTTTTTAAAATAAATAAAAATATATTTTATTAATACGAAGTTATTATTTAATATTACATTACATTACATTACAAACTAAAGTAATATATTAAAATTAAGCTTTAATATTCTAAAAATAAATATGTTTACATATTTTTATATTAATTTTAAATTTTTTTTTTTAATTTGTATATATATTTACATTATATGTATATTAAATTAAATTAAATTAGTAAAATTCATATTTTTTTAAGCATTTGAAGCTTAAGATACCGATATTTATATCTTTTGTCGATATTTTCGACAGCCAATTTTAATTATTCTTGTATAACAGTAAGTTTTTGTTTTCAATATTTTCTAGGCGCCTAAACTATTAAATTATTGAGCTCTATCGCAATTTTCTGATACGGTGGTCTGGAATGTGACTTGTTGCAAATGCCTTTCGCAATGTCTGGATATATCTTCATATTTGCAACAAGTTTTACTATCTGCTTTTTATTTATTTATTTTTATTTTTATTAATTTTGCCCTACAACAAAATTTATTAATTTTATTATTTCTTAATTTTATATAAATACATTATTCGTTGAAAAGTATATCATAATGAATAAATAACAATACAAAAAATGCAACAATCGTTATAGTCAATATACATATAACACATTCCACTTGAAACCAGATATTAAATGATAATATTAAATAATAATATTAATATTAAATTATATACTATATTATATTAAATCTAAATGAATTATTACTAACTATTATATTAGTAATATTAAAATTATATTAAATTTATATGTTAAATTGACTGTATAAAGCGTTTTAACAGCATTTATTTTATACGATCGACAAACTTCTACTGCTCAAATGCAATAGAGCAATTTATCTACCGCTGATAGAAAAACTTATATCGGTTTGCAATTCATAATACCAAAATTTGATTTTTTCTACCAGCAGTAGAAATTTTTCTACTGTCTATCAGCGATCGACAATTCATAATAGGCACTAATATCTTTATTGCTCTCATTGCCGCTAAAAATAATTTCAAGAGTAAGATGTTTACCAAATTGAGGTTCGATTGTTATCTGAATACGGATCTAAAGAGGTGAAGTTAAAAAGAATCGTGTGACTTGATATAATATTTTGATCATCTTTCGCAATCAAGATTTTGTTCTCTATAAGATTTTTTGTGTTTCTACTTTTCTGTCACCAATAATCTATGTGAACTGTTCCCAAGTAATGTTTTGTTTTGACATAAAGTCTCAATAAAAATAAAGCAAGTGCTTAAATACCAACAACAGTGCTTATGGATAATCTTGCAACTATTTTAAAATATTAAAAGTGAAATATTTTGTTTACAATTGATAACTGTAGCACTTTATTTTTTATATGATATGAACAGCAAAAACAATAAAATAATTGCGTGCAATGAGTCCATTTCGTGTTAGAAAAACATCACTACCAATTAAAGTTATTACATTTGAGTCGGAACTTGAGTTTAATATTGAAAAGACTGCTACTGGACAAAATCTTTTTGATTTAGTATGTCGAACAACCGGCCTTCGTGAATCATGGTATTTTGGTTTACAATATGTTGATTTTAATGAAAATGTCTCTTGGCTAAAAATGGAAAAGAAGGTCAAAGATCAACGTATTCAGCTACAGACGAATGGCGTATATGTATTTAGTTTTTATGCAAAGTATTTTCCTGAGAATGTTAGCGAGGAACTTATCCAAGAAATAACTCAACACTTATTCTTTCTGCAAGTAAAACGGAGTATATTGTCAATGGACATTTACTGCAGACCCGAAGCATCTGTATTGCTTGCTTCCTATGCTGTACATGTTCAGTATGGACCATATGATTATGAAACTTACAAAGACGGAATGCTATCTGGAGCGGATTTATTACCAAAAAATGTTATTAGTCAATATCAAATGACTCCAGAAATGTGGGAAGAACGAATAAAAACTTGGTTAAACACTTTTAAATCACTTTTACAATCGAAGTCGTTATTGATATATTTTATGTTATAGGTACATGGACCATGAACCAATGTCACGCGACGAAGTCGAAATGGAGTATTTAAAAATAGCTCAAGATTTGGATATGTATGGAGTGAACTATTTTCCCATTACTGTAAGATATATAAACTTATACGAAACTAACCGCAAATAATCCACAATCTAATTATTGTATATTAGTTTTAAACATTTATATTAAATATAATCGTCCAAAACGCCAGAATATTAAGCTTTAATTTATTGAATCTGTTTTATGCTTTAGAATAAGAATAAAACTGAATTATGGCTTGGAGTCACTGCTGTGGGGTTGAACATATATGACTATAATAACAAATTATCTCCAAAAACAACATTTCAGTGGAATGAGATACGGCATGTAAGCTTTGACGACAAGAAATTTATAATACGTTTAGTAGATGTCAAATCATCGAGTTTTATATTTTATTCTCACGACTTACACATAAACAAAATGGTTAGTTGAAGCTTAATATTCAAATATATAATTTGTGTTTATTAATATTTTCGTTTATTTAATAATATAATTGAATCAACTATATTGGATTTTTGCAATATTTACTTATCAAATCTTATTACGTGTTGAAAATTCAGATTTTAGATTTGTGTAAAGGCAATCATGACTTATATATGCGACGTCGCAAACCCGATTCAATGGAAATACAGCAAATGAAATCACAATCCAAGGAAGAGAAGCATCGACGTCAAATCGAACGTAAAAAATTCATTAGGGAGAAAAAACTTCGCGAAAAATCGGAACAAATGAGATTCGATTTAGAAAAGAGACTAGAAGTATTGCAGGATGAAATGAGAATGCAGGGTGATGCTTTGGTATAAGTGGTTAATGATACGCTAATATATCAATATACAATAATATATTAAACTTTCAGCGCCGATCTGAAGAAACGAAAGACCTTTATTTTGAGAAAAGCCGTGTAAATGAAGAACAAATGCAGCTAACAGAATGTAAAGCTAATCATTTTAAAACAGAAATGGATCGTCTGCGTGACCGCCAATTAAAAATTGAACACGAAAAAAATGAACTAGAAAAAAAAATTAGAGACGCCGATTACTTTGTACATCGGTTAACAGTTGAAAAAGTTAAACGCGAAGCAGAAGCAGAAAAACTTAAAAAGGAACTTATTTGTGCTAAATTGGCAGAGAGGGAAGCAACTGCGCGATTATTGCAATTTCTTAATGGAAGCAAAACTTCTGCTGATAGTATGCTGACATGTTCATTGTCTACATCTAATAACACACAGTCAATTAAAAGTAACTCAACTGCAAGTTCGGAAACTACCGAAGCTGTAGAGTTAACAATTGACCTTCTGGGAGAGAGTTCAACAGATGATCAAATTAATGACGAATTCGAACCGAAGGAGTTTATACTTACTGAAAATGAAATAGAGCATATTTCGAATGAATTAGCACGAATTGAATATTTGAAAAAAACCAAGCAAATGCAAAACCAGTTGCAAACATTACGTTCCGAAATTGAGCTTCTTAAGATCGAAGAAAATCAGAGCAATCTTGACGTTCTAAGTGAAGCTCAAATCAAAGCAGGTGAAACTAAATACTCAACACTAAAAAAATTGAAATCGGGCTCAACTAAAGCGAGAGTAGCTTTTTTTGAAGAACTATAGTGTAATATTCTTTAAATTATTTCTGAATAAAATATTCAATGTTTTCGAAAATACTACTGAGATTGAATAAACTTTGATTTTGATCTATTTATTTCATATAAATGATAATATGAACTTATAAACATAATTTATATCAATAGTGATGTAAAATATAAAAATAAACACTTTTATAGGTAATTTGATATCAATTTGTAGTTCTATCAAATTCAATTCTTGCATATAATATTTATCGTTTAATTCTTTACCTTTGCAACGACCAATAATTTTTACTTGAATATGCCAAAAGCCTAAGTTAACAAATTAAGCCTGAACGAAATTCGTGCTCTCTGGTCCTGAATTATTCTGCTTACAACGAGATAAAAGCTAAACCTTGTTTTAAAAATAACAAAAAGTAGTACCAAATGTAAATGGAATAATTCTCTCCAGGCTTTCAAGATAAATCTCTAATAGTTTTACATTTTCAAAAGTAATGGAAGTACGACAATTTTTGACTTTAATAGTATAAACATTTTAATTTACAAAATATCAACATCCATCAATGCTAATGTATTATCAAACTCAAATTATAAATACAATATGCATACAATAACTAATAACAATACTAAACAACAAAATAATTAACATATCAAGTATTTTAAAATATTTTATTTGCATCTAAAAGGGAATTCTTTTGAGTCGCTCCATATGTAAGTCATGCAATAATTTATTTTTCGTATAGTAGAAAGGATTTTGACTTTCGTTCAATTCTGGATTATAAACTGGTCTTGCGGTAGGACTTAAGTATACTTTATGGTTGTCAGTAGTTTTTTCTTCTAGGACAGCTATTTCTGGAATATAGGTATGGTCGTCGTAATTATTAATATGCAAGTTGTTAATACGCTTTGATAGTGGCGTCGAATCGCAAAAATTGTCATCTTCTCTATTTCTTTTTCTGGTAAACATATCTCGTTACATATATAATTGCTATAAATATTATATATTATTACCTCTTATCAATATTCAAGGACATCAGTTTAATTTCGTTTAGTTTATATATTTTTACGAAATTTTTGTAATTAATATTTTTCTTTATTTTACGATAAAAAATATTTATACATTACTAAAACGGTGTTCAAAGCTATTTTTTTTTTGAGTTCACGACAACACAGGGTAACATAGTATTTCATTGATTTTATATAGTGGTAACCAAAGAATACCCTGCAAGAACAGCAATACCATTGTGAACTAAAGTGTGTTTTTCTGAACAAAAATAATTTGCCGTAGAGCTCTTCAGAGTGTTATACTACGTTTCCACTACGTACTTAGTAAGTCATATAGTAACATAGAGCTTTTTGCGTTTACAATATCATGAGTTACTTAAGGAATAGGAAAGAGCTTTTATGTGTCAAAAAGTTCTAGTTTTAGATCTTTTCTGTGCTTACATTTTAATTGTAAACAGATGATATTAAAGGTTGTATTGTTAGAAGAAAATAAAGCAGCATTGAAGAAAAGACAGAAAATTTTTATTTTTTAATATATAATATTTGTAATGTTTTTCATAATAAAAAAGCGGCAGTTGCTGTATATACAAAAAAACAAAAAATTACAAATTATTTAAAATCAAAACATCATCAATAGTAACTAGAAACCAAAGAAAGTGCTGGACTTCTGGTAAATACGGGCAGTAAACATTATTAAATAACGAATAAAATTTTACTGAGTTGCTATTTTAGATAAAAATGAAATCCGTATGTCGGTTCTGAGAAGACAACAGAGAGCTTCAAAATAAGTTTGTACACTAAACAACCACAATCCAAATAGAAAAGAAATAAGGCGATGTTTAGTCAAATTTTCAGTATGTTTTATTTTAACTAATAGCTAATAATGAACACTAATAAGTCATAAACTAAAAATAAAAACAATAAAAAATATATACTTATATATTTTTTATATAATTAGATTTTATATAATTATAAAATTTATAAAAAATTTATATTATTACACTTATAATTTTATAATTTAAAATATATTAAAAATAAAAATAAAAAAATATAGTCGGTTATCATTGATTTTTCTCTTCTTTGTAGATGTGTTTTTTTTTTGACTTCAAAGATGTATGTTAACGACGCTGACAGTAACGGTGAGGATGACTATCAGAAATTAATTCGATGGTGTTGTCAATAGGCAAGTTCTCCAAAATTATATACACGTTATTGACAAACTTCCACAGTGACGGAGCCTCCGTTGAAAATCACAATACATTGCTGATTTTTTTTGTTTTAAAATAAAAGAGAAAAGTAGTTAACATAACATTAACTATTAAATAAAACATCTAATATTAATCGTAAAAGATTATGTGGGTTTAATTACAAAAAAGTAATGATATGATAGAAATTTCACTCATTGAACACTTGCCTAAAATGTTGGGTGAAGTGCACTTTCGTTTGCGCTTCGGACGCGGTTACCATAAAACCTGTTTCACTTTTTTTATAGAAGAAGATTTTCCTCCCATAGTTCAACGGTTCCACACGCATTCTGGGTAATACTTTTTTGTTTTATATTAAACACAATTTCAAATTTATAAATCAAACTTGTGAGATCTCAATTATTGCTTTCCTGATGTTAACCTGAAATAAATAATTTATATTAAATAATATATGAAATTTTATAATTATATTAAATATATATTTGATAAATAAACTTATGTTTATATTTTTATGTATTAATTATATATTTTGTTTATAAAGAAACAAATGTTTAAAAAAATTCTTACCTGTTGTTTGTTTTGAATTTTGAATGTTTGTTTATGTTTACATTTTGCTTCATATGTCAAATATGTCAAATTTCGATCATTTCCAATGTTGCATTCGTGATATTTAGGTATAATTTTGGTCGAATTTTGTTTACTATATCCTATAGTAAATGAAAAAGCACGGAAGCTCTTTGTATGGCAAATGCAATTTACTCAGTAAATGACGCTTTACTAAGTACGTAGTGGAAACGTACTGTTAGTGTATTTTTCACTGTCGACAGAAGTCATTAAAATTATTCACTTTTTTTCCAATATTTCAAACCCTTTTGAGAACGGAATAATTTCGCGAACTTACCATGATTAAAGTGTAAGAGATATGACAGAAGTGTTTAATTTATTTAATTAATGTATTTTTGAACTTAAAAGATTTGTTATTTTAAATTTGGTTTTTGAGTTAAGTACATAACTTTAATAGACTTTATTTAAATAACTTTAATTTACTTTATTTAACTGAACAAAATATTTAATAACATAACTTTAATATACTTTATTTAACTGAACAAAATATTTAATAACATAACTTTAATATACTTTATTTAACTGAACAAAATATTTAATCACGACGCTATCCAACTGACGCTATTCAACGAACTTCCGTTACTCTCGTTCACTCGCTTTTGACATTCGCTGTCACACATATGTTAGGTGACCACATGTTGTTAAAATTTTAAGGTGCCCAGTTGTGCGTTTCTGATGTAGGTTAACAGTCGGCCCTTCCTGACGTCAAGCGTCCTCGCGCTCGGAATCAGTTTCTTCTTCGTACGGCAATTGACACCATGGCTTTAGGAGATCAGACGCATAGATTGATTTATAATGTCGTTGTTTTCGATCGGATCCTGGTAGGTCTTCGATGACATAACGGTCATTATCGAGAACTTCGGTGACTACGAACGGTCCTTTATATCGACATTCAAGTTTGCGGGACGTGCCTGTGGATGCTGGTTCTCGTTCTGCTAGAACTAAATCACCTTGCTTACATTTCGTTGGTTTCCTGTGTTTATCGTCGAAACGCTTTTTCGCGTTTACCCGTCTACTATCGGGTACTTATTATTAGCAGTAAGTAATCGTCGGCGGTGGAGTTCTTCTTGGGTGATGGGAATAGTATCGTCTTCATCTTGGAGAATTTGGATCAGCTTGTTTCCTAATATGTCGCGTGGCTTGAATCCAAAAAGCAATTCGTTTGGAGATTTTCCCTTCGTTCGGCTAATCAGTGAGTTCAATGTACATTGAATGCTTCGTAGTTGCTCGTCCCAGGTTCGGTCATCTTGTATTGATGGTTGCAGCATGGATAAAACGGTGCGATTAAATCGTTCGACTTGGCCATTGGCTCGTGGCGTACGGACTGCGTTGCGTATGTGTTTGATTTGTTGATCGTTACAGTATCTTTCGAATTCTTTTGACGTAAAGGCGGTACCACGATCACTTATTATGTTTTCAGGGGTTCCAACGTAACTGGTAACTTCATTCAGAGTGGCGATGACTTGTTTAGTGTTCGTATTTTTCACTGGTCTGACTATAGAATAGGAATAGGCTCAATTTTGTCGCAATGTAACTCACCTTCCTTTTTACCTCCTCGACGCTTAGTGAAGGCGCAATCAATGTCCGTTAATTATTTTATAGTCGTTAATAATGTCTGAATCCTTATCCTCAATTTTCAATACGACTTGTTGAAGTTTGCTATCTTGTAATTGCATACTGTAAAGCCAATCTACCTCAGTTATTTCCGCCTTCCAGACTCGCAAAGTCGCTTCCTCAAGATCGCAACCGTCTTCGTTAGGCATACGACTTAGTGCGTCGACGTGCGCCATTCGTTGCTCGCTTCGATGTTCGATGATGAGGTCATAGTCTTGGATACGAAGCCACCATCTGGCTATACGAGGTATCATTTCTCGCTTTTGCATGGCCAATTTTACAGCATTGCAATCGGTAATGACCGTAAACGACTTTCCATAGATGTAATATTTAAAGCGGTCCACAGATTCGACAACTGCAAGCGTTTCTAATTCGTAACTGTGATATTTCCTTTCCAGCGGTGTGGTAGATCGACTAAAGTACGCCACCGGCTTCCAATCTCCGTTGTCATTTTGGAGTAAAACACCTGCGAGTCCGATGGCACTCGCGTCTGTATGCACTTGATGGTCAGCTTCCACTCGGTAGCCCGTTAATACTGGTCCGGTTGTTAGTGCTTTATTTAGACTCACAAAGGCGTTTGTTTGTTGATCTGTCCATTTAAAGACGGCGTTTTTCTTAAGTAATTGTCGCAACGGTTCGGATATAATTGCGTAGCCTGGTATAAACTTACGGAAATATCCCGTTAACCCTAAATAGCGCCGCACCTCTGTTTGCGTTGTAGGCATGTTGAAATTTCGTATGGCTTCGGTCTTGATTTCACCCGGCGTTATCCCGTTGGGTCCCAACTGATGTCCCAAGAATTGGATAGCATCTTTCAGAAATTCGCATTTTTTTAAATTCAATGTTAAATTAAATTCTTTTATTACACCTAAAATTCGTTGAAACTTTCCCAGAAGTTCTTCTTCATCGTTGCCGCCGACTAGCATATCGTCCATGTAGTGAATCATATCGCTGGGTTCCAAGCGCGTTTTAATTTTCACCATCAATTGTAGAAACAGGACTGGTGTGTTCTTCAGCCTGAACGGCATCCGTTTAAACTCATACAGACCATCAGGAACCACTACTGCAGTATATTTACGACTGTTACGTTCTATAGGAATTTGATAATAACCACAGTTAAGATCTAACGATATGTAGATTCGATACTTCGTTGCTTCTTGTAAACTTTCTTCGATATTGGACATTGGATAGCATTCTTTTCGAGTGAATTGATTAATCCGACGGTAGTCCACGCAAAGTCGATGTTCGCCATTCTTTTTCTTTACAAGCAACATTGAACTCGCATAACTTGATTCGGACGGAGCTATAATATCGTTGTCGAGCAACTCTTGAATTTTCTTCGCAACGATTTCTTTTTTCGGTTCCGGAACTCTATACGGGACTTGTGCGATCACCTCGTTGGTCATTAACTCAATTTTCATTTCGACTACACTAGTTTTGCCGATTCCATCCATACCTGTAGCAAAACATTCTCGGAATTCATTCATCACCTCTAACAGCTTTCCCTTAGAATCTGAATTCACAGTGTCCATACACATGTCATCTTCCGTTATTGGACTAAGTTTATTCATTTTGCACGTCGTTTTTACTTTATCTTCGAATTTGAACTGTCCGTTGTCATATACGGCGCGTATATTTTCGCTATTGAATATTTCGTCCCCGAGCAATAGATCGGAATTCAACACACAATCTTTGAAGACG